AGGAATGCCCAGTATGTTCTGTGTTGCTAATAAGCACTAAGTAACAAATATTGAGGTAAGAGTCATGATTTAATCACTTAATGTTGCCATTAAGTTTCAGAGTCAGTAAATCTAGATAATAAGCAAAAAGGTAGATCTTTATTTGGCATTGAAAGTGCTTAATAAAGGTGCTTGGACCTTTCTTAGCTACTGTCTTTGTGAAACTGTGTTTTATTCTACTGTCAACCAAGAGTTTAATTTGGGCTTATTAAGTAATTGCTGGCACATAGTAGCACCCATATCAAAACAGTGAATTATTGAATATTTTTAAAGTTCTAATTGCATTTGGGTTTGCTTTTCTTTTCAGCAGCTAACTTGGCCAGTGCAGCAAAGGATGCAGCAGGTTCTAGCGTTATAGCCATATGTTCCTAGCTCACTTTTAGTGTAACACTCACATCTGCAGTGACACAAAGTTACGGGTGCTTTGGTGGCCACATCACTCCAGCTGCTGGCAAGAATGGTGCCAGTGAGTGTAAATCTCACCTGTATCTGTATTTTATGTGACTAACCATGGGGTGCTTAACATCAGAGTACCTCTTTACCACTGTACATCTTTGTGCCGTCAACAGTTCTTTTCATTTGAGAGTTGGTGCCCTTTCCTACCTTCAGAGTGCAGCAGATGGATACATCCCTTACCCTTCTTGTCGAATCCTTCCTGCAGCTTCTTCACGCAGTGGCCATGGTTCGTTTCTCCTTCAGCTCTCATTGCAGTCACTGTCTCTGCTGACATCTCACCTGTCTGTCCTGTTCCTCTCCATTTGGCTGCGTGTGAGACTAATGCCTACAGACAGTGTGCATGCACCTCGTGGCTTTCTAGGGTTGTCTCAGTAGGGCTGAACTGTTGGGAAGTCCTCTGTCAAGCTGTATTGGCAGCTGAATTATGCCTCCACGAGAAATCATGATGTAGTTTGAGAATAATCTGTATTCTGCAAGAGTATACTTGAGTTCCAACAACTGAGCTTGCTTTATGGAGGATGCCTACCCAGTCTGAAAGCTTAATATCGTGAATTCTGTGTCCATTAATTGAAAATAAAAGAACAAGCCTGGTGTGTTTTGGTGGGTTTTTTTTGGTTTGGTTTTTGTTGGTTGGTTGGTTTTTTTTTTAAACTGAAGCAGCAGGCAAATGAGTCCCTAATTTCCAAAAGTGAGTGAATGTATTCTGCAGTCATTTTCTACATTGCTTGGTTCTTTTGGCAGAAATGGATACTCCTACAAAGTGGCAGTGGCTCTGTCCTTATTTCTTGGATGGCTGGGAGCAGATAGATTTTATCTAGGCTATCCTGCATTAGGTAAGTTTATTTCTTATTTTTTCTTTGAGGTAAAGCTTATTGTTAGGACTGAGTAGTATGTGTAGACTTATATTTTGAGTAATGAAGGCTGACAGTCATCGTTTTAATATTTACAACTAGAATCCTTGCCTTATTGTCAAGTAAGATAAAATCCTGCATTATCCCAGCCTGCTACTAGAGTAAGTGGTGACAAATGGATATAGAGCTGTCCGACAGATAAAATCCCAGTGAGCAAACGTGATCATTGCTGTTCGTAGTTTTGCTTTACGTTTGCTCTGCATTGATGTTTACCACAGCATTCTTTGAGAGGCACTGAAACAGAAGTGGTTTTGACTGATGTGCCAGCTACTCAAATGATGCTTGATTTTACCAGGAAAACGGTGGACAAACTTTACAGTAAACCTCACGTTTTGGGATGTGGAGTTTATCCTGGCAAATGCAGACTGTCAAGATAGCTCTAAGTACTAACAACAGTTTTGCAGAAGCTGGGACCTTTAATACGACCTACCTGTGGTTAGTGTTTTTAGGACGCGATTCCTTTGGTGATGGTGCCACTGGCATTTAAATTATGGCAGTACCTCGGTATGTTAGAGCTGTTTGCATGGGCTTTGTTTCTGAGCTGCACAAAGGGAGTAAATGTAAGTCTAGATAGCACAGAGCAATGAATTGGAAAAAGCTGTACATGTTACTGTCACTTCAGCTGGGAATTTTGAGTTTCTGCCCATTAAATACAAACCCTTAGTTTTTTTAATAACATTATCTGTCCTTTTCAATAATCTTATGTTAACATCTGTGTCTTTCTTTCCCTGACATTCTATAATTAGCACTTATTTTGTCCATCTGTTTCACAAAAATAGAGAGTTTTGGAAGCAGTCAATAAGGTCCACCTTTTTGTTATACCACTGGATTTGGAATAATAATTGGTAGTAATTATTTTGTAATATAGATTTATAAATCTTCCATTCTTGTATAGAATTTCTTTATGGGTCATGCTTCTTAATGCTACTGGAATATACCATAGCCAGCAACCAAAGTTAAAAGACTTAAACTATTTCAAAGTCAAGTTTTCAATCTTTTGAAAGGTGAAGAAGATAAAAGCAAATAGCTAAGAGTAGAAAAGAAAAAAAAGAATGAAAACCAAGAAATTGGATTCCTTGACAGTGGTTGATTGGGGATTTTTTAGGTCATACATGCCTTGGCAAGAAATGGTAAAGAAAGATAATAGCATTGAAATATTTTGTGCAAGCCTCGTGAAGACTGTAAATGCTCTTTGCTTTATTTTGTTGCCTTCTCTTTTGCTTAAAGAGAGCACAATTACAAACAAGCTTTGAATATGAGAAACCAGGAAGGCAACCTCTTCCTCTCCCACACATGAACTAAACCATAAGTTATTACTGCCTAAGAGCGCTGTTTTTCCCTCCATGCTTTAAAGTGGTTTATTTTCTCAGTGTGATCTGCTCGTGGGAGGGGAGTGAGGAGGAAATAAAAAAATCAACTTTACCCTGCCCTCCAGAAGCGTATGCCAGGTTCAGAAACTGTTCTCCTATGTCCAGTAACATAACAGAGTGGCCAGTTCCTCGAGTAGACTGGAGCTGTGGCTGGGACCAGCAGTGGTGAGAGAAATGCTGGGTTCCTAAAACGCCAGCGGCAGTGAGGGTCAGGACCAGAGCTGGAGAGGAGATGATGTAAGGAGCATCCCAAATAAGTATCTTAAATGGTGACTGATAACAAAGTAAACTGTTCACTGGTTTTTGGCATTATTTAATCGTTTTAACTGCTGTTTCCTAAGGCTAGCAGTTCTTTAGCTGGCTGTTCCCCTTACGTTTTATTACGCTGCTGCCAGTTCTGATACCCAGACTAACTGTGTCTGCCTGCTGCAAGTCTCGTGCATCAGCCCCTGAGAACAAGTTGTTTTAAACAATGATATGCTTAGTGTTTACATGCTTAAGTTGCAGTATGCACATAGGCTCTTCTTCTAATCAGCTGAAAGTCCACTGTGCTACTACTCTTTCATCTTTTTGGTCATTAGGTGTATTTTCCTCTGTTCTCTCTGACTACTGTGTTGTTCATGGAGACATTATAAACTCTCCCTGTGTTTATAAATCAGGCTGGTTTCATCTTGTCAACTACAGGAGCTATATCCAGACCGTGGGGTGCTCTCCCTGCAGCGTGCACACAGCTACTCCCCCACTCTCCTCCTCATAACCAGGGCACGGGGAAGAGGAGGAGGTGGTACGCAGGACAGATTGCAGCTTCTGAGAGAGGGGGAGCACCAAGGAGGAGGGGGATGCCAGGAGACCTTCAAGGGTTTGACCGAGAGCAGGCTTTGCTGTGTGGTTTTAAGACAGGTATTACACAGCACAGCACAACTCGTGGCTGTGGGAAGAGATGCTCTGGCTGATACAAGCGCTTATGTGCACTTGCAGCCCAGAAGGTCAGCCGCATCCTGGGCTGCATCACAAGAAGTGTGGCCAGCAGGGCAAGGGAGGTGATTCTGCCCCTCTGTTCTGGTCAGACCCCGCCTGCAGTGCTGCATCCACCTCTGGGGCCCCCGATATAAGAAGGCCATGGAGCTGTTGGAGTGGGTCCAGAGGAGGCCACAAAGATGGTCGGGGGCTGGAGCACCTCCCCTGCAAGGACTGACTGACAGAGTTGGGGCTGTTCAGCATGGAGAAGAGAACGCTCCGGGGGAACTTTATTGCGCCCTTCTAATTCCTGAAGGGGTCCTACAGGAAAGCTGGGGGGGAACTTTTTACAAGGGCAGGTAGCGATAGAACGAGGGGGAATGGTTTTAAACTGGAAGAGGGGGAGATTTAGACTGGATATTAGGAAGAAATCCTTCCCTCTGAGGGTTGTGAGGCCCTGGCCCAGGTTGCCCAGAGAAGCTGTGGGTGTCCCCTCCCTGGCAGTGCCCAAGGCCAGGTTGGATGGGCATGGAGCAGCCTGGGCTGGTGGAGGTGTCCCTGCCCATGGGGGTTGACCTGGGGGGACTTTAAGGTCCTTTCCAAACTAAACCATGCTGTGATCCTATGACTCTGTGATCAACGTGGTCTCTCTTGCCTCAGAAGCGTGCTGGCCCCTGTAAGCGCAGTAAGGAGGTGATTTTTAGCAGGGAACTGTGCTTTCCCCGTACAGCACAGCTTACCACTGACTCAAACGCAACAGCAGTGCTTGCCTGTTCACACTGTCTGTGCCTGGGTAAAGAGATGAGTGTCTCCACAATGCGTATCTCGTTCCCAAAATAACCTGGATGTTTGCCTAGCTCAGCTCCAGTATTATTTATAGTGCATATAGTACTCATTGTATTATTCATTCTACAAGATACTACTGATATTAATCAAAAATAAAAGTTTTAAGACAGCCTCCTTCTTCTGAAGGCATTTTCCAGATGAAGTCTGCCTTGCATGGCAACTTCCAATGAAACATTTATCTGTTAGTTGCTATTCCCTTCTATTTTCTATTAATCTTTCATTTATTCATACAAAATAGAACATTTTGGAATACCAGTTAAAAAGAAGTGTTTATAGACACATACATATATTCAAAACAGATTCCTATTTCAGCAAAAATATAAAAATGATACAAAGGATTGTCCTCCAAAGTAGCATGTTCTGAAAATCAGATCAGTGTGTGCTGCAACTCGTGAAATGGCAGAAAGTCTCTTTCAACTCATAAGTAAATTTTGCAGCTCAAGTTGGGATTTCTTCTGTCTGTGCCTTGGTCAAAGAAAGAAAAATTTCCAGTAATGTGGTTGCCAACTTTGGCCTTTCCTTGTTGTAAGAATATTTACCTGTTAAAAAAATTAAATTGTTAATCTTTAAAGTGCATTCAGGATACAGAAATAGGAATAAGTGGTTTGTTTTATTTTCCCTAATAACTAAAGATCTTTAGGTCTGTTTCTGGATGTGTGTATATACGTATTTTGTGGGATGGGTTGAGAGTTGGAATGTGATTGTCACCACAAACCTGTGAACTTCGTAAGGACTGGCTTAAAGCTACAGTTCAATTCTGTTTTCCTTTTTCAGGTTTGTTAAAGTTCTGCACTGTAGGGTTTTGTGGAATTGGAAGCCTAATTGATTTCATACTTATTTCCATGCAGGTAAGGCAGGGCTTTCAAAACAAGATATAAATCTGTGTTTGTTAAAGCTGTGATTTGATCGCTAATTCTCTGTTAGCATTTTAGCCTTAAGAGCCTTTGTGTATTGAAAAATCAAGGCATTTATTTTAGCTCTGTTTGTAGAGTATGGATACAAAATATCAATATATTTGTTCTTTGAATTAAAAGTCAGCTCAGCTATCTATAAATACTTGTAATGAACAGCTTGGAAGCCACAGAACCATAAATTCACTTTGTCAGCATGTTCACGTGACGCAGTGTTGGAGTTTGCATGAGATATCCTGAAGTTCTGCGTTTGCACGTGCTTTATCATGACGGAGCCCCTCGTCTGGGCTGTCCACGCCGTGCGCAGGAGAGGAGGCAGCGCCACTTTTCTGCCTGCTGTCTGAACACGGGTCCCGCATCGCCCGAGAGCTGTGACTGTGGGATTCATGGCAAGAAATCTGCACCTGGGGTCACATCTCATGACATCATGAAATTGCCAAATGGTCTTATTCTACTGTGCGTCCCTTTAGCATGAATTACAGATTGCCTGTGATGAACTTAAAATGCATTGAGGAGATAGGAATTGATTAAATGGGTTTATGGGTTTATATAAAAATAATTTTAAAGTGCATTTTTTTGTAAATACGTCTTTTAAAGTGTATGCATTCTCAAATTCCTTTCTAGGTTACCACTGTTATCTTGTCAGATCTCTTACAGACACAGCTGAGAGTATCTTTCATCTCTCCTTATTCATCCCCTTGCTGACCCCACATCAATTCAGCGTTTCCAGAACAAAAAAGCCATAATCTTCTCTCCTTCCCTCCATTCCTTACCTATGCAGTATTTCAAAGATATTTGTCATCAACCTCATTCTCTCCTGCCTACCCTCCTTTGTTCAACAAAAGTGGTTTGGAGCCTGCTCATTTGTTAACCTGATTTTGTGACTCAAATCCTCATCGGCTTAACCTAGTACCAGCGCCTGGCTGTGTAATTTGGTTGATTAGAAGCCCTAGGGAAATGTTCCTTCTGAGACAGCGCTCGCTAAAATAGTTAAAACTACAGCATAACTTCAAAATAAATCTAGTTTCTGTTTGACTAATTAAGCATGACTAATTTTATGATGGGAAAATTAGCAGTAATTGAGATGTTAGCACAAAGTGTATATTTCACTTCGCATTGCAAAGTCTCGGTTCTTTCTCTCTCGTAGATCGTTGGCCCTTCGGATGGCTCCAGTTACATTATCGATTACTACGGAGCGAGGCTGACGCGGCTCAGCATCACCAACGCAACCTTCAGGAAGATGCAGACCTATCCCTAGCCCTGGCAGCAAGCGGCACAGCTGCAGAGGTGCGTTTTGTGTTTACAGACGGATCCAGTCGTCCGCTGGAGTTGCAGATTTATCAGTTACGCTTCACCAGAACCCGATATTAAATGTACACTGAACAGAGATGATAAAGTATGGAAATTCCTCAAATGAATGGGTTTACCTCACAGGTTTCTTTGTGACTGCTCTGTTTTCGTGAGCACGTCGTTTGTTGCCAAGTTGTACCATTTGTGAACTTTTGCAGTTTGCACTGATGTTGGTCTGTGTCTGTAAGTATAATTTAGGGGGTTACTTAGAGGTGGAGAAAAGAGTTGTTTGGGACAGCTGTGCTTATCCTTAGTCCATGGATGGGTCAGGATTACACTTGGGATCTATTTTCATTACTATGTGTGGCAGTTTGTAAACAAACTTAAATACCCCAAACCACAGAAACTGCCTTTCTTTCCATCCTCTTGGTGCAATCTCGTGCTGCTGTATCCTGTGAAATTCTGTGAATTGAAGGAATGATTTTTGTGAAGTTTAAAGAAAAATTTCGGTCAAGTTGCAAGCTTTGGTCAGTGCTGATCACCAGTAGAAACATGAGTGGATGAATGAAAAATAGAACTGTAGATGCCACATCACAGAAAAGGAGGGTGGGTGTTGGGGTGCCCTGAGGCTAGAAAAGTCTCCTTGTTTTGATTTCTTTTTTCCCCTCCCTTGCAACCATCCGTAGTGAAAGACATAACCTTCTTTTTCTGAAAAGAAATTAGTGCGTGTGTTTTACAGGTGCAGAATGTCAAAAAAAGTGAATTATTTGTACAAAGAAAGCCTTTAAAAGGTTCTTAGCTTAGATCAGCTGTGTTTCGGTGAAATAAACTCTGTCCTTCGAAGTTGTTTGACCAAAGTCTTTAGGACAACCAAGACTTACCTAGGTGCTGCTTTAAAGAAAAGTATGTACACAGAGACAGAAAACATTCAACAGAATCTTCATGTTATTTGACCAGTTTTTAAACACTCCCTTTGTCTTTTAATGAAGACTAGCAGTAACTGAGTCAGAAATCCACGTGACATAAACTCTAGTGGAGATTTTTTTCAAAAATGTGGACTATTCTTTTGTTTTTCAGATGAAACTTTCAAAATGTCACTAATCACAGAATCACAGAGTGTTAGGGATTGGAAGGGACCTCCAAAGCTCATCCAGTTCAATCCCCCTGCCGGAGCAGGAACACCCAGATGAGGTTACACAGGAAGGCGTCCAGGCGGGTTTTGAATGTCTGCAGAGAAGGAGACTCCACAGCCTCTCTGGGCAGCCTGGGCCAGGGCTCTGTCACCCTCACTGAGTCCACAAATGGTATTTTTAAGGGAATTACAGAAAAACGAGATTCCTAAATTGATTTTTTTGAGGTGCAGCTTGTGGGTTTTGGTCTCTTCTAAACCCACGTTACGACTGGTGCACAGAAAGCTTTGTAAAGAAATGCCATTTTTTTCCCAAAGCAGCGTCACCTGACGTATCACGCAGTGAGGGCGCACCACAAGGAGTACTTTGTGCGTGATGTTAATTCTTTCCTTCGCACAAGACAGACGTAGTTCTGGAGTAGTTGCTGATGTGCTTCACTTGTGGGTTCGGAGAGACAAGAGCGCTCTGTCGGCCTCGCTCACTTCCCTGATACTTGGAGCATCTCCCTTTTGTCTTTCACTCGCTGGACAATGCTCTTTTGTTGCCTGAAATACTTGCAAAAACAGACAGGAAGTGGGCAGAAAATAAATGTCTGAATCAAATAAAATCTCATGGCTCAGACCACCCTGTGACTTGTCTGCTTTTTGGTTTCTAACCCTGTTTTTTTAATATAGCTGTGAAAATAGGAAGGTACCATGGCTGTTATAATAAAAAAATAGCCTGGAGCAACTCATCACACAGGATTTCATCCTAAAATGTATCTCTGTGTGTACAAGTAGCAGCGGGCTTGACGGGATGATTTCACCAGTCCATCTTGTACTTCATGATCTGTAAAATGCTATGGGAGCTATTTGTGTGAATCAGATGAAAAGATGATTAGTTGTAAGGTCCATCGGATAGTTTGTTAATCCACAGAGCCAGCAGAGAGAAAGGTTTGTTATCCCAAGTCACAGCGTTTCTGTAGGAACAGAACATGCATCAACCGATCCAGGAGATACAAACTGCCATGGGATCCATCCCTCCTGATGCTCTGTTTCTCACACCGGTGCATGCTCCTGTCAGCACTGCCCTGCTTGGTCACAGCACCCAGGGGTGACCAGACAGAGCGATATTCAAACCTTGCCAAAATGATCTTTCTCTTCCCTTTCGATGCTGTTCCACTTGATCCTCTTATCTTGCACTAACAACTTTCCTCCTCTTTCACAACCCTCTCCTTTGGCTGCAAAGCCTTTTAGAAATGAGTGCCACAAATAGTGTGACCTTGGGAAACTGTATTGGATACCGCTGGAATAACGTTCCATATCTGCACATACATATCTGCATTTCTAGATGTTTGTTTAGCTGGAGTTTAGAGAGGGTTAACAGAGTACGCAGAGAGTGCTGCAGGGCCAGGAGAGAGTTAGTGAGGTCTCTGTTTTCATCTCATAATTGTCAGCTATGGCATGTTTACCATAAGGGCTGTGAAAAGCGTGATGTGAGATGTAAAGCTGTCCCACTGTGTTAATAATAAATTGGCTACGGTGATATTTATCAAAATGTCTGTCCTACGATGATTTTCTGTGTCGCCGCCTGCTTTAGCTTTCTCCTGTCAATCAAGTTATCCATCCCGTGATTTTGGAGTTCTCATTGCTCAGGCTGCACTGAAGAAGCTTCTCTCTGGATTGTTTTCCCCAAAACAGTTGCAAAGCAGTACAAATAATTAGACACTGCACTGTGTCATCCTCCTGTCACGTTCCCAGATCAAGTGATATCTGCTGGCCTTGCAGGAATCTTCTCGCCGTTCCAACAAGAAGTGCTATTCTGTATCTGCAAAAATAAAGAATGTAAAAAGTAAAGGCCAGAGTTTAAAAAAAGAATTTGAAGTGCCTTGCCTTCACAAACCTGTATAAAGCTGTTCACTGAAGATGCTGCAGATCCACGCCAGGAGTTAAATCCAAATCTTCCCTAAGTGCCAGTACAGTTCAGTCGCTGCAAAAATGACTCCATAAACCTGTCCTTTTTGCCCCCCTTTTTTATGTCCATTTTAGGATTTTCTGCAGTGTGCCTGACCATGATCTGCAGGAGCAGCAGCTGGCAGAAACATTCGGCTTTGGGCACTTTGCATCCACGCAGTGCAGAAGTGGTTGTACGTAGGTGTGCTTACTGTATTAATGCATTACTCTGGGTTGCTTTTGTTCAGCGAGGGCAACCCGTGCATCTTTCACTTGTGTTTAGAGCTCGTTTTCCAAAAGAACTTTCCAAATTAGTTATATTTTAGAAGAAACTCTCTGAATAGTTATTCCTCCTGCGATTTAAATCACATCTAGGCCATGGCAGCTTCCCGTGACAGTATTTACTCTGTTTCCCTCTCCACCACCACCCACCACTTACTACATGAAGATATCACTCCTGCTTTCAGGACCTGATAACACCTTCACCGTTAGGTTTTATGATGTTTCTAAAGATGTATTACTGTACGTCTGCCAGCACAACTTCTTGGCTCCACAGGAAGGTCTTTGTGTTTGAAATGCTCCGTTACGATTTTTTGGAGAACATCTGTTGTCACCCCATCAAGAATTATTTCCTTTGTTCCTCGAGAGTATACTCGTTTCTATTTGCTTACACAGCTATGTCTGTTCAGTCTTCTCACATCTCACCAGTTTTGGTTGGGTTTTTTATTTTTATTTTTAGATTCATTAGGTGTTTGGTCCATTTCTGCACCGAGAGCCATTCCTGTTGCTTGCTCTGCAGTTTTCAAACCTGCTTCCTCCAGAAAATGATGTTGAATGCAGTCAGGTTGGGTGCTTAAGCACCCAGCTGGGGAGACGCCAAAGGCAAGATTTTGTAAGCATCATAGGAGTGTCACTAATTGTGTGATTGCCTATTTTGTCACTAATACATCATCCAGTCTTTAAATTCAGTGTCATCTCGACAACCTCACCCTATTCATTATTATAGATGGTCACTGAATGGCTTCTTTAAGAAATGCATCATTTTAATTCATTTAAATAATGCTTTTTAACCAGTGACTATGTTCTGGGTTCAACCTGCACCAGAGTCTGCCAAGGGGTGAAATACAGGAGATTATTCTGTTTGCATCTTCTGCCTGGATCTGAGGAGAGAAAAATAGCTTAACTTTAGGCATATGCTTAAATGTTTTGCTAGACTGAAATTTGATCAAGACTCTTCCCACTTTCCTCCTCTCAATCCATCTGTGTTACCCAGAGAACCTTTCTAATCTCTGTGAATTATAAGAAAATTGCATTCCATGTGGAAACCTTAGCACTGGCAGTGTAAATGGGGAATATTTCCTACAGCTCCATGACATCCTATGTGTTGCAGCTTCTTTTTTTCCACCTCCAAGCTGATTTTTGGTTTGCTTTTCTTGACGTATCAGCTCTGTTTGTTCATGTGTCAGCTACCTCTGGACATCCTGCCCCAAGTTCTCAAGTACCTCTGGGAGGAGTTGGACTCCTCAGAGCTAAATCAAGTACGTAGTGATGTCACGGCATTGGGACAGGGCATCTTTTATATATATATATATATATGTATATACACATGAAGCAAAGATGCACTGGGGAGCAGTAGATGTCAATAAGGGGTTGTAGGCTTCCCTTTCTGCAGAAAGTCTGAAACTTAAACCGGGGTTGTCCCTTTGCCTTCTGCTTCCTGAAGGTGGAGCCAAACCCCCTATCAGGTCTCCAAATCTCCCTAAGTTGTTCTTTATGGTACCGCAAGGACTGGGCACTCTGGTGTTTCTCGGAGCACACCAGAAAGTGGATGTGGGGTTTCTGTCTGGCCGAGATGCGTTTTGCACTGTGCTCACTCTCTCTAATACTGTAGCAAAGGGAAAGAAAGGAAAGACAAGAATAAAAAACGCAGTCTCGGTGCTGTTTGTACTGTGTGTGGTGAAGACCCAGCTCCATAAACTCCCAACAAAAGAAAGTGTTTAAAAAAACACTGCTTGTCTCAAATGCAAACTCAG